AAAAACACACACACACACACACACACACACACACACACACACACACACACGCGCACACACACACACATATATATATATATATATATATATATAGTTATTTGCATGTTAAGTATTATTTTGATAATTGATAATTAAATAATCATATTTTATTATGGCTTAATTATTTGTACATGTATGTAACACTGGACCACAAAACCAGTCAACCCATACAATGTATTGTTGGCTATTGCTACAAATATACCCATGCTACTTATGACTGGTTTTGTGCTCCAGGGTGTCACTTATTTACAATTATTAGAATTTAGTTTAAAATCTAAAATTAAATACAGGGGAGATATATTGCTCATATTAATACTTTGTCATAGCATAAAAATATTTTGGGTCATGCAAAGTTTCTATATCAATGAATTCCCAGATAGGGCCATGTTTGGGTATATTTTTTTTCATCATACATATTCTGTTCATATAACAGTTTATTTTATTTGTGTGTACAGTACTGCTTGATCACTCATCATTGTATTTCTTCTAGATATTGCTGTGGAACTGCTCCAGAAATCTGCCCCAAGTCCCATAAGGAAACTCCACAAGAAATACGCTGCACACGTAGCCAGGTAGGATCGCCTTAAATCTGTGATTTCGAAATATAATCTCATTAATAAATATTGTGTGTGATGCATTTTCACTGAATTAATATAAAATAGTTTTTTGTTACAGGGAAGCATGTATATCTCCCTGCGCTATGATGTTGGCCTTGATATACATTGAAAGACTGCGACACAGAAATCCCGAATACCTGCAACAGATCTCATCCTCAGACCTCTTTTTGATATCCATGGTATGTATGCACATCCAAGGATTTTTACTTACCTTTTATTACCCTTATTTGCTTCTCTGAATTTCTAATGTTATCTTCAGATGGTTGCCAGTAAGTATTTGTATGATGAAGGAGAAGAGGAGGAGGTTTTCAACGATGAATGGGGCACTGCGGCCAAGCTGGATGTTCAGACTGTCAACACTTTGGAGATGAACTTCCTCAATGCGATCGTAAGCATGACAACTATGGCCATTTACAGTAGTTCGACTTGTTTTGTCCTTTTATACACACTTATTAAGGCTAATATTAGATCTGGTTGCATTTCTGGTTGTGAGTTTTCTACAGAAATTGATTTGAAACACGACCTTTCTCATTTACAGGACTGGAACCTCTTCACTGAGCCCAGTGACTTCTTTAAAGTCCTCAGTCAGGTGGAAAGCAGGTTGGTTAACATGCATTACTGTGTCGTAACAGTACATCCCAAATTATACTGAGTCATATGGTTTAAGTGAACACTCCTACTGGACTTAATGCGGTTGCCCTTTGCAGTCTAATCTGTTTATCAGAGTGAGTTGGATTAGCAGTACATTTCTCTTAAGTTGTGTGTCATGTGACAAAGTTCAAGGTCCTCACACATGCTCGTTTTGTTGTTTGGTTATGATGTTCCAGTGTAAAAAGATCAATATTTTTGTCCTTGTAGCATTGCGGAGCGACAAGGAATGAAGCGAGGCTGGTTCACCTACACGGATCTCTGTGTCCTGTTGGAGCAAACCAATTGGAGGGAAGCTCTATCAGCTATCTACCAGCACTTTACCAAGGTCAATAATCACAGTTGAATCTATATAAACTCCTAAATACACCTAAAAGTAGTCCATATGATGTGCACTGTATTCCAAGTCAACAAAAATTTGCTGTTCTTAAATATAATTTTATTCAAATATGGCACGACAGACACCTGTTTTGACATCTCACTGGACATTGTCACAAAAACAGTAAATCTAAAATTTGGATATTTAAATGTATATAATATACACTTACAAGCATTTTTTTTTTTTTTTTAAGATTTGGGCAAAATTGTGGTTATGTACCAATATAAAATAATAGTAATTATATTATATAGTCACATTGACATAATGACAAAATTTTTATTATTACTAAATTCAGTTATTAAAATAAATATTACTATTGTAATTTCACTAAAATAAAAAAAGTTCTTAAATTGTAAAAAAAAAAAAAAGTTTATAATTTCTTCAATTTCAAACATCACATCTTTTATTTTCAACTTAAACTTTATTTATATAGCGCCATTGAAAATAAAAATTGTTGACTAATGTGGTGTACAATAAGTCCAAAGATAGTCAATAAATAATGTCATATTCAGAATAACAGATTTCAGACCTAAAACAAGACCAACAACTATTCAGTAAATCTGCTATGAATAAAAGCCAGAGAGAATAGGTATGTCTTGAGCTTTACTTTATAAAATCATATTAAAAGTAATTTTGGAAGAAAACTGCAGGAAGCCCTTAAAGGTTCTTTTTTTATATACGTCCAGTTTATAAGCACTTCACAAGTTGAGAAGATAGTTGACGCATGTTGCATTTCCAAATGCATGTTATAAGCGACCCAAGTTGCTGTGAACAGAACTGCTTTGAGACACTGAGAACACAAATTATGAGCCGCTCGCATGTAAATGAACGTGCTTCAACAGAAACTCACAGCTATTATTTATTTAACTGAATCGAACCATTTGCGATCTAATAATCACACTAAGCCATGTTGTGATCTTCAGTTTTATTTCAGTTAATCGTGCAGCGCTATCTCTAACCCTTTGCTGTGTTCTTTACCTTCCCTGCAGGTTACCTGTATATTTGGTCTCCTGTACTTGACTAGCGTAGCCGGTCTCATCGCTTCTTCCGCCGTCATCATCCACCAGCTCGGCCGTCTTCCCAATACCAGCCGCACTTACTTGGACCCGATGAAACACACATCCATTCAGACACCAGCACTTCTCCCCGAGCTCTTGCCGGACACACCACGCCCAACCTCAAACCTCCACTGCTGCGTCCTGACCAATGACAGCTTGAAGCCGCGGCCCACCGCTGTGCCAGATCAGCCCGGTTCTACCTCTTCTTCCTATCAGAATATGGTGCCTTGTCTCTGGGGCTCCATCATCTCTGCTCTTTCCTACTCAAACCCCTCGTCGGACATCCAGCCACTAGACTGTTTGGTGTCTGAAGTGATTTGTCACAGTCACATGAGCGGTTTCCCTGATTGTGCAATAGCTTGCAATGGCTCGGCGCCTCTTTCCTCTCCGTGGTATGCTCGTCTCACAGCACTTTGGCTTGGGTTTGCTCCATTTAGTGAAAGCCTAATATTTTCAGACCCCCATCTTAGCTCCATGCCACCTTTTCAAAGATGTTGCCCAGAGACGACTTTGCCATTTGGGAAATCGCCATCTCTTCTCATGCCCGGCTAGATGAGTCTTAAAGTAAAATAAAACCAGCAAAGTTTACATACGCAGTCAGCTCTCGGTTTTCTTTAATGTTGCATACGAACCAGCCAGATGGCTTAGTTATAACCGGGTTGTGGTGGGATATCAGTATGTTGGGGAGAAGGTTGTAAAGAGGTTTTTTACAGAAGTGGCATATGCTGATGGACAGTTTGAATTTTGATGTGTGACGCAGTGTGCGCTAATGCAGTATGAACGAACAGGCTTTCTTTTCTTTCGCTTTCCGGATGGGTTTGGTTGGTTTTAGTTGTTCTGTGAAACCTCCAAAGCATCCAAGCAAAAATAATGGCAAGTGGTTACGTAAGTTAACAAAAGGCTCTGCTGTTCTGCGCGGAAGTGCGTGTTCTTGTTTTGAATAGTTCGCATGGTTTTGCGGAACATGCCAATGTCCTGAGGAGCACTGTTTTGTTTTGAAGTTCCTTCCTGTGAAAGCCTTTATTTTCAAGTTGGGAAATAGTTTGAATTTAAGCCTGGTTTTGTTCACTTTGGTTCAGAAAGGAAGGGTAGGAGAAAAACAGAAAGGGATCAGTTTTACAATGTCGGTTATACAATTTATTTAGATTGTAATGGTCAGATAGTTGATGCCATACCTCGTCCACAAAGTGTTCATCGTAGATTGCTTTAGTTTGTAGTAACAATCCTCAATATTTTGATATCCTCAAGTAGTAACATATTGCAGAACAGGCTAATTGAATAGAATTGGGTTCATTACTTGACTTTGTTAATGAGTTTAATTTTGGCTTTATTTTATGTTCTTTAAACATAATGTAATTAAGCAAATGGTATTAATATTATTAAGACTTGGACATAAAAGTACCCTTTAATACCTGATTTAAAGATCTCTTGCATATCCACCATTATTTCTTAATGGCTTCCAAAGTCTGTTAACTATTTTTTTTTCTGTCCCAATTTTGTACACTTTGTATAGAAATAATAAAAGAACATACAGCTGCAACAATGAAAAGAATAAAAACATTAATCTCAGTCTTGACTTTTGTATCTTTCTTTAATATTAATGGTTTTTATAGTATGATGAAATATAAATATTTTAAGCATGCAGATTGTATAATGCCTTAAAGTTATTTTATTGTGACTGATATGTTGTTACAGTTTTGTTAATATTTTGAATTTTATTTGTATTAAGTTTAACTTTTTTTTTCTATATATGTTTTCTTAATTTTTACTTTTAATTATTTGGTTACACTTTATTTTAAGGTGTCCTTGTTACAGTGTAATTATATATTTAAGTACTGAGTAGTATTAATTAACTACATGCACTTATTATATGGTTAGGGTTTTTCTTAGGGTTACTTGCATGTAATTATGCATAATTTATTGTTATCATAATAGTACGTGTGTAACAAGGGCACCTTTAAATAAAATGTTGCGATTATTTTAGTACTATAACCTAAACTGAATGAACGTCCTTGCTTAATATTATATATTATGTGTGTATGTATGTAT